TATTGTTCTTTTTCCCTCTGACTTATTTCACTGAGCATAATGCTTTCTAGCTCCATTCATTTTGTTGCAAATTGCATGAGTTTATCTTTTTTGGTTGCTGAATAGAATTCCATTGTGTACATATACCACATCTTCTTGATCCAGTCATCTATTTTAGGGCATTTGGGTTGTTTCCATAGCTTACCTATTGTAAATAGTGCTGCAATAAACATACAGGTGCAGGTGTTCTTTTGAATTAATGTTTTTGTGTCCTAGGAGTGGAATTGCTGGGTTGTAGGGTAGCTCCATTTTTAATAGTTTGAGGACCCTCCACACAGCTTTCCATAGAGGTTGGACCAGCAATGTAGAATTCCTTTTTTTCCCACAGACTTGCCAACATTTGTTTCTAGTGTTTTTAATATGTGTCATTCTTACTGGTGTACGGTAGTATATTTCATTGTGGTTTTGATTTTCATTTTCTTGATTATAAGGGATGTTGAACATTTTTTCATACCTGTTGGCCATTTGCATTTCCTCTTTGGAGAAGTGTCTGTTTACCTGTACTGCCCACTTTTTGACTGGATTGTTTATTTGGGTTTCGTTGAGATTTGTGAGTTCTTTGTAGATCTTTGTGATCAATCCCTTATCAGTTATATGGAGTGCAAAAATTTTCTCTCAATCAATAGGGTGTCTCTTTGTTTTGGCTAATGTCTCTTTTGCTGTATAGAACCTTTTCAGTTTGATGAAATTACAGCTGTTTATCTTTTCCTTCACTTTCTTTGTGATGGGGGACGAGTCTTTTAAAAAGTTACTGAGATATATATCATGTAGTGTTTTACCTATATTTTGTTCTATATATTTTATGGCTTCAAGTCTTATGTTCAATTCTTTTATCCATTTTGAATTGATTTTCATGCACAGTATAAGGTAGTAGTCTAGTTTCATTCTTTTACATGTGGTGGTTCAGTTTTCCCAGAACCATTTATTGAACAAACTGTCCTTATTTCAAAGATTAGTTGTCCATATCCATGTGGCTTTATTTCTGGTCTTCCGATTTGGTTCCACTAGTCTGTGTGTCTGTTTCTGTTCCAGTACCATGCTGTTTTAATTACTAAGGCTTTGTAGTGTAGTTGAAGTTTGGGAGTGTGATAGCTCCATTCTTTTTAGTCAGGAGAACTTTGGCTATTTGAGGGTTTTTTTGTGGGTCCATATGAATTTCATCAATATTTGTTCTATTTCTTTGAAGAATGTCATTGAGATTTTTATCAGGATTGCACTGAATCTGTAAATTGCTTTCAGTAGAATGGCCATTTTAATAATATTAATATTCTTCCAATCCATGAACAAGGGACGTCTTTCAATTTTTGTCTTCTATTTCTTTTAAGTCACTCACCTCCTTAGTTAAGTTTATTCCCAGGTATTTGATTTTTTTGGTACCGATTGTAAATGGGATGTTTTTCTTAATTTCTTCTTCAGATTGAATGTTTGCATATAGGAAGGCTACTGATTTTTGAGTGTTGATTTTATATCCTGCTACTTTACTACTGGTTTATTATTTTAATTAGTTTTTCTGTGGCATTTTTAGGGTTATCTATGTATATTATATTGTCTGTAAACACTGATAATTTCACTTCTTCTTTCCCTATTTGAATCCCCTGTACGTCCTTCTCTTGTCTTATTGCTCTGGCTAGGACTTCCAGTATTATATTGAAAAGCAGTGGCAAAGAGTGGACTTCCTTGTCTTGTTCCTGATCTTACAGGAAAGTCTTTCAGCTTTTCATCATTGAGAACAATATTGGCTGAGGATGTGAATATATGACTTTTATCACGTTAAGGTAGGTTCCTTCTATCTCAAGAATTTTGAAAGCCTTCATTATAAATGAATGTTGATCTTTGTCAAATGCTTCCTTAGCATCTATTGATATGATCATATGGTTTTTATTTTTCTTTTTGTTGATGTGTTGGATTACATTAAATGATTTCTGGATGTTAAACCATCCTTGGGCCCCTGGAATAAATCCCACTTGGTTGTGAATTATCCTTTAATGCATTTTTGGATTCTGTTGGCAAGGAATTTTGGATCAGTGTTCATTAGGGAGATTGAGCTGTATTTTCTTTTTTATGTGGTGTCTTTGTTTGGTTTTGGTATTAAGTGTAATGTTGGCTTCATAAAACGTATTTGGTAGTATTCCTTCTTTCTCAATTTTTAAAGAGTTTGTGTAGGATAGGCACTGGTTCATTTCTGAACATTTGGTAGAATTAATTTGTGAAGCCATCTGGTCCTAGACTTTCTTTTCATGGTTTATTTCTAGTTTGATACCTTTATAATCAGAAAAGATATCTGGTATGATTCTGATCTTAATGTATCTGTTGATGTCTGTCTTGTGACCCATTACACCATTATCAATGCTGGAGAATGATCTGTGCGCACTTGATAAAGTATGTACTCGAATTTTTTTGGATATAGTATCCTACGGATGTCTGTCCATGAGGCTGAGGTCTTTATTTAGGGCTCTACTGTCCTTGTTTATTTTTTTTCTAGTTGATCTGTCCATTGGTGAAAGTGGTATGTTGAAGTCTCCTACTATGTATGCATTCTCTAATGTCTGTCTTCAGAGCTGGTAATAATTGTCTTACATATATTGGTGCTCCTTCATTTGGTGATTATATGTTGAGAGTGTTATAACTTCCTGATACATTGTCCCCTTAATCATAATGCTGATCTGTGTCTTTTTATTGATAAGTTTAATTCATTTACAATTAAGCTTAATATTGATATGTTGGCATCTGTATTTGCCATTTTGTTTGTCTTTTTGTAATTTTATTCCATACCTTATTCTGTTCTTCTTATTCATTCCTCTGTTGGTTTTGGCTTTAGAACTTCTTGTAGTATTTTTTGGAATGGGAGGTTAGTAGTAATAAATTTCTGGAGATTCTGTTTGGCTGAGAAGGTCCTTATTTTCCTTCATAGAGGAAGGAGAGCTTTGCAGGGTAAACTAATTTTGGTCAGCATTTGTTGACTGGGAGTTTATTGAATATGTCACTCCATTCTCTTCTTGCCCACAGTGTTTCTTCAGAGAAATCTGATGTCAGCCCGATTGGTTTTCCTTTATAGGTTATCTTTTTGTTCCCCCTCATCAGCTTCATTATTTTTTCCTTGGAAGCTTTCCTATTAGGTATCTTGCTGTAGGTTTCCTTTCATTGTGTAATTGGTGTTCTTCTAGGAATACTGAGTGTTTCTTCATTCTTTTTCCTTTGTACTTCTCCTTTTTCTTTGTTAGTTCTTTTTATATCTGTATCTCCAAGAGTACTGATTCATTCTTCCATTGCATCAATTCTGCTTTCATTGCTTTTCCCAGAGTTCTTCATCTCCTCCATTAATCTTTTAATATCTTGTACCTTCCTTCATTTCCAATTTCAGTCTTCAGTTTATTAATTATATTTCTCATATCATTCTTTTTCTTTTCATCTTCTTTATGATTTTTAATCATGGTGATTTAAAATTCTCTATCTGGTAGGCATAGAAGTTCTTCCATGTCATTGCTGTTGAGTTCTGGGGACTGATTTTTTTTTTTGTGTTGTGCCCTTCCCCAGAGGGCTTGGGCTTGCTTGGCTATTTGTATTTTTCCTTCTCCCTGTTGTCCATTTTCTAATTTGTTCTATGCGGTGGGCCACTGTGTCACTGGTACTGGTGGGCATCTCTTTGGGGTGCTCCTTCTGGGATATCAGGAACTGGTGGCCAGACCGAGTCCAACACTGTTACACCCCACTCCACAAGGAGATTGATGCTGTGGATGGGTTGATAGGTGCTGTCCCTGCAGATCACTGAGTCTCTGTATGCTGCTGGTCTCTTCCCCTACATGTCAATCTTAACCTTTATTTGCTAAACCCTTCCTGTCTTTACTCAGTTCCAAAAGGGGATCATGTAGTTGCTGGTTTCCAACAGCCCCGCTGGCAGGCCCACACTTTCCTGGAACCCACAGTTCACCTTGATGGCGGAGTCCTCCCTCTCTTATGTTTCTTTCTATAATTATCTCAGGATAAATTTTCAGAAGTCAAATTACTGATGCAGAGTAATATGACATTTTCATGACTTTTGGAATGCATTACACTAAACTACTCTCAGTTTCTGCCAATTAAAATGATGTACATTTGGACTTTTGCTATACAGCCAGGAAAGTGAAGTAAAAACAAAGCTAAGGAATAAATTATAGCATATAAACTTTTGAATAAAAGAAAAGTAAGGGGCCTTGCTGGTGGTTAAGTCTCAGCACTATCACTGCTACAGCCTGAGTTCAATCCCAGGCCAGTGAGCTAATCCACACATACGGCACAGCAAACCTCTCCTGTCTCGCTCACTGCTCCCCTAAGCAGTATACTAATGTACTTCAGTAAATCCACCTGTTCTGCTCCCCACTCTGTCTCTGGTGGATCCTCTCACCCCCTGCACCTCTGGCCTACACCCCAGTTCTTCTATGCAAAAATAAATAAAATCTTTTAAGAAAAAAAGAAAACAACTGCAGGGATCTAGCAGAATTTAAGTTAACAGATCTTAAACAAAAGGTAGTATGAATCTAAATCAATCCAGAGGAATTTCTGATTAAATAAAACATTTGTTGAACACTGTCTCTCAGTTAACTAGACAACTAGGAGAGAAAGACAAAATAAATATATGTGAAAAAGGAGTAGCATTTTCTTTTTCTATATGGGATTTATATTCCTCACCTCTCAGGAAACATGAAAATATCTCAAGTACAATAATTAACTGTTCAGCTAAAGAAAGAACAAAAGAATACACTGTATCAATCTTAAGCTCATTAATATATGCAATTTAAAACGTCCCAGTCTTCATAGAAAAACCCTCATACAGATAAGTATGTCTAAGTTTGTGGAAGGTGGTGCTGCACAGGAAGAAAAAGGATAGATGGATAATATATAAGTAGCTGGTTTTTAAAGAAGATAAAGACATGTAACAAGGAAATGTCTGTGGATAAAATAATTTAAGATTAATTTTTATTTACCGTTCCATCTTCCATTAATTTCAGACAGGAACCAAAATCTGCTAAACGGATATGTCCATTCATGTCCATCAATATATTGTCAGGTTTGATGTCCCTGAAAAAAATAAATTCAATTTTTAGATGGGGAAAAAAATAATCAGTTACCTGGTAGACCGACTTTTCCCTGAAAAGATCAATCTCTTTTAAAATAATACTGTGAGGATATCTATTTGACTTTATTTTGGAGATAAAAGGCACTGTGGTAATTTCATTCATGTAAAAGTCCTCAGAGGTATAGATTCAAATGTAAGCAAGGTAGGTTTACTTTTGTCATACAAAGAAAAGTCGTATTTACCGGACACACACAATACATACTACCCTCTTGCCCACGATACTCGACAGAGAAAATATACTTCCTAGACACTAGATACAAATGTAGATAAATAAATTCTCAGTGATGGCAGAACCTGTCATCATAAGGTAATTGCTTCAAAAAGCTGATCTTGGAAAACAACTGAAACAACTGTACTATTTACATTGCCTAAATCTATTTATATAGTAAACATACTATATTTTATGTTTACGCTATTTATAGATGTTAAATGACAGCCAAATTTAAAAAACCTAATAAATCATATCAGATTTTATATTTGCTTTTACATTTGAATAATTAAAAGTGCTAGAAAAACCTTTGAAAAATCCTACATAAAATGATTTTGTAAAGAAGATTCAGCAATGTAGAATTTGTAGTCTAAAGATTTCAGTAGTGAAAAGCTCAGAGATTTGACTCTTTCAACTTACTTTACTTTTAGAGGAAGAAAAATGATCTTCTATAAGCATTTGCATATAATTTTTACTGACAAGTAGTTACCGGGAATATGGTCTCTTTAATTAACCTGAATGATGCCACTTAAGTCCATGCCTCCACCTCCCAAGTTGTAATATGGGATAATTTAGTACAACTTGGTTGCTGAAGTAGTTTTTTTGAGTGTTGTATATCGTAAGTTAGCAAATTATGTCCCACAAGCCAAATGTGGCCCATAGTCTGTTTTTGTAAATTTTATTGGCACACAGCCACACCCATTCATTAAGTATTATCTGTAGCAGCTTTTCCATTATAGCAGCGGAGTCAAGAAATTCTGACATTTGAAAAACCTTGACTGTCAAAGCCTAGAATATTTCCTGTTTGGCCCTTTTCAGAAAAGCTTGCTGACTCTGTTGTAGATTATTGATGATTACTTAACAGAGAACAGGCAAGTAGTCTGAAAATAACAATCTGTAAAGGAAATTGACTTCATAATTCTCAACATTTTAGTTAAACCTGAACTGTCAAGTAAAACTAAGATTTTCTCTTGTTTGCAAACATCAAAGTTGTACACATTAGTGCTGGAAGGAATCTCAGAATTTACCAAGATCAATTTTATTTTTTTTTACTGGAATAGGATAATTTTATTCTTATTAACTTGAAAAACATTTATTTTTGCATAGAACTGGTGTGTAGGCCAGAGGTATGGGGTGGGGGTGGGGTGAGGGGTCCCTGAATGGATTCACCAGAGATATAATGGGGACCAGTACAGGCGGATTTACTGAAATACACTGCTATAGGGAGCAGTAGGCAAGACAGAAGAGGTCTGCTATGCCGTATGTGGGTTAGTTCCCTGGCCAGAGATCAAACTCAGGCTATAGGTGTGCTAGTGCTGAGACTTACCCTCCTACACCAACAGGGAGGCTCTATTTTTATTTTTGTTAATGAGGTAACATCAACTTATGTTTGTGTTTTAGAGGTATAGGAACAAGGCCATTTTTAGATGAGAAAATGGTATTTTATTTTTTATTTAAAAATGATAAAGCTATTGAATATAAGTCACTAAATGCAACCATTACTGGTATATTTCTCAGATTTTAAAGGACAACTAATGGAATTTACAAAGGCAGGATTTTAAACCACCAATAACATTTTTGACAGTTTTAAAAATAAAACTTTTAGGAAGGAATAACTTACATGTGACTATATATATAACAAATAAAAAATAATGAAATGCAAAATATTAAAGAAGACATTATAGATAGTATTGACATTACTCAAGTATCCCATTACCCTGATGTCCCTTCCCACCAATCCCCACAGGCAACCACTATCATGAATTTGGTGTTTATTTTCTCTGTGCACTTTTTATATGATCAGCACATATATATATATATCTATGCAACACGAAACTATGTAAAGAACTTTTCTAAGTGTCTTTAAACTTCATTATTGATACCAAATTGTGTTAGCTTTTTGCAACTTGGTCATTCTGTGTTTACAATTCCAAAATGTATCCATATGAAATTTTCATAAACTGTTGGGAGAGACTCCATGTAGTGAGCAGAAGGGCCTTGACCTAAGTCCCTAAGGCATGTGAAAAAACATGCGTCTCGGAGGAAAACCTCTGAGTGACAGGACCTGGTGTTGAGTGCCCGGAAAGTGACCTGCGTGGAGTCAGGCCTCTACATCTCCACAGTCTGAGAATAACAAAAATAATGAGTGGACTTCCCAGGCTCTAGCTAGGGGGCGATAAGATTATGTGTGTGAGAACTAACCACCTGGTACCCTACTGTCTGAAGTAAATAGATAATAGTAAGAAAGTAGACAAATCATTCATATGTGTTATCACTATATGGTATGCTTTGATGTTACACATGCTGCAATTAAAATAGTATATAATGAGCATTCAGACAATAAAGATTTGCTGCATGCTGGACATGACAGTCCCCCATGTCTGATTTCCCTCACCGTCGTGTCCCAGGTCTCGGACTCACTAGAAGTCCACAATAAACAAATTCTTAAGTTTTCCTAGTGGAATTTTAGATTGCTGTAGGTTGATGCTTTACTATAATACAAAATTCTAAGATGAGTAATTTTATATATGTATCTAAGTACTTATATGGGAATATTTCTCCACGTTAAATATCTGGAACTGGAACTGAGATAAAGACATGTACATCTTCAATTTTACTAGCATGACTATGAGTTAAGTTGAGAATCATTTTTATGTTTTCAACAGTCATCTTAGATGACCACTTCTGTAAAATTCCAGTTAATATTCTTTATCATTTTGTTGCTCTGTGGACATATTGTTTGCATTCCAGTTTTTTATTAACGTTCAGGAATTTTGTTTACTCAAACATGTTACATGTGCTATAAATCCCTTCTCTTAGCATATGGGCTTGCTGATTCACATTGTTTATAATGCTGCCTTACCAAATAAAAAAAAAAGTAATTCTAATGTCCTATAACTTATAATTTGTGTTTTTGCATTTTTTCTTTACTATGATCAACAATTCTGTGAGATATTTGTCTGTTGTTGATCATTTCAAATTAAGTTTCTGTTTCAATAGAACCCCAGATTTCTGTACTTTTTTAAAATCAATTTTAACTTTCCATGCTTTTCTTCCTCTGCTATTATTTTCAGCATCAGAGTTGCTGTTATTTTCTAACATCTGAGTCATAAAAAGTTTAACATCTTTTTAAATAAAATATGTTCATTTTTAACATTTTCATTTAAGTTTAGAGATTTTCTTTTACAAGATATTACAGGTACATCCCACAAATTCTGATATATAGTATTTTTTATTTCTTTTTGTTCTAAATATTTTGTAATTTCCATTGTGATTTTCCTCTGCCATGTTTAAAGAGAATGCGTTCAATTTTTAAAATATAAAGACTACTTTTTAGCTTTGCTAGGATTTAATTCTATTAATTTTATCATTAGGATGGATAAATCATTTTTTTGCTGAAAATAAAAAATATAAAAAGGCATACACTAAAAAATTTCCAAACACCTGTCCCAATTCACCCAGTTCCTATACTGAATAATTATTATAATTAGTTTCTTACCTACCCTTCTGTGTTATTTATAAAAATGTATGATATTTTTAACACAATGATAAATAATGTACATCAACCTGCAAATTCTTTCTTTACATAGAACCAATGTTGGATCCATATCAAAACTGAAAGACCTCATCATTCTTAGTTTCCTATTGCCTGACTGTAACATAATTTTGTTACCCATGCAAACCTTTACCCCTTACAAAACAGCAACATTTGACATTTCACAGAACCCATGTTCTTCCCTTTATTGTTTTTCTAGGTGGAATTTTTAAAGGTCAAACAACAGGACCAGCCAAAACCAGCTTGGATCTGTACAACTTAGCATAGAAGTGCACACATGTAATAAGATGGGGAAAAGTCCATGCAAGGCTCAGCCTTGAAAAAAACCCTGCCCCACTGTTCACTTTAAAAGTAGCTCCCTCAGGGCCTTCCTGGTGGCACAAGGGGTTAAGACACAACCTGCAAGGCTATCCACAGCCACTGCAGCACGAGTTCAATCCCTGGCCAGGGAGCAACCCACATGACACAGCAGACCTCTCCTGACTTGCCCACTGTTGTCCTCAGCAGTGTATTTCAGTCAGTCTGCCTGTTCTGTTCCCCACTCTGTCTCTCCCCCTCCCCCCACACACCTCTGGCCTGTATCCCAGCTCTTATATGCATAAAAATAAATAAATCTTTAAAAAAATAAAAGTAGCTCCCTCATGTAATGATTAAGGGAATGGCATATCAGGAAGACGTAACACTCCATACATCTGACAAGGGACTGACACTGAAGATCTGCAAAGAACTCACACAACTCAACAAAAAGAAAATAACCTAATCAAAACATGGACAAAATAACTAAACAGACACTTCTCAATCAAAATATAAAGGCTGCAAACAGGCACATGAAAAAACGCTCATCATCACTTATCATCAGGGAAATGCAAATCAGGACCTCAATGAGATACCACCTCTTTGCGAATGGCCCATATCGTAAAAACCAGAAACAAGTGCTGGCGAGGATGAGGAGAAACGGAGCCCTCCTGTACTGCTGATGGGAATGCATACTGGTCTAGCCCTCATGGAAAACAATATATAGGTATCTCAAAACACTAAACATAGTGGAATAATTCTACACTAAGGCATGTACCAGAAAAATTCAAAAACACTTATTTAAAAGGAAACTTTGCACTCCCATGTTTATTGCAGCATTATTTACAATAGCCAAGATATGGAAACAACATAGATGCCCCAAA